CCAGTTCCATTAGTTTTGGGGGACCTTGTGCCTTCTTGCCTGTTTAAGTATGCAACAGCCATCATGTTGTCAGACAGGATCTGAATCTCTTTCCCTTCTATTGTCTAATGAAAAGCTGTAAACGCTCTGAAAATGGCCAGTAAGTCCCTGAAGTTTGGCCACCTTTTTGCAGTTTCCGGGTCCCACTTGGCCTGCGTCAGGCAACCCTCCATGTGTGCGCCCCACCCCCACATACTTGCGTCTGTGGTGATTTTTGTTGGGCTGCATTGCTTCCTTCTTCCGGCTTTCAGCGTGTGGCTGTTCGCCCACCACTCCATTGACTCTCTCACTGTGTGAGAGGTGGTTGCTGGAATCCAGGGACGCTTGGCTGCCATCCCAATGGGAAAAGATGTGGTTCTTGAATGTTCTGGAGTGTAATTGTGCCCACTGTACCCCCCGGTATGGCTGCTGTCATGTGGCCGACGAGCTTCATGGTGTTTCTGATTGTGCAAGTCGCCATCCCCCGGAGGGTCCTCATGTCTTGTAGTTTAAGCGCTTTTTCTGGAGTCAGGTATAAACAGGTATTTCTGGAATCCAGAATGTATCCCAAATAAGTGATTCTGTTGGAAGGGACTAACTGATTTCTCCGTATTAGCCGCCCTAGGTTTTCCAGGAAGGATACTGTATGCTCCACATGGCATTTCAGTGTTCTTTCCGTGTCCGCGAACCAGAGTAAGTCGTCCAAGTAGGGGATGATGTTTATCTCTTCTAACCTCAAGGCTTGCAGAGGTTCCACTAGGATTGGTGTGGAAGATAGACCGAAAGGAAGTGCATTGAATTGGAACAAGATCGTTCTGTTCTTGCCCTTTAGCATGAACCTTAGGAACTTTCTTGATTCTTCCCTTATCGGGATGTGAAGGCATGCGTCCTTTAGGTCTGAAACAAAAGCAAACAAGAGCGCACTCTCATCGTGCATTACCGTGGTACACCACGTATTTATTGTGTAAACAAAGGATGTATACTCACAAACCAAAGGAAAAATAAAAAGCAGAATATGAAATCCGCAATGGCAGTCAATACAATGCTGTGCCCTATTTAGGGATAATAGGACGCGTTTTGGGAGACGAACCCCCTTCTTCAGAGCTCTATTGATGCCATGAATGCCCTGGGCGGAAGGAGTTTGCTTTGTGTAGATCGTCTGCATGTGGAGTTTTTTGGGTTTTACGAATTTGTTCACCTTCTTTAGGTTGAGTTTCATTCTGTATTTCCCAGACATCTTCCTCCTCAGAAAAAAAAAAAAAAAAAAAAAAAAAAAAAAGGGAGTAGGAGTAGAATCCTCTTCCCATCTCTTCTCCTACAGCTGACTGACCACGTTCTGTTGGAGCATCTCTTCCAGGAGGTTCACGAGTGTGTCCGCCTTTCCCTCATCCCTTGGTAGTAGGGTCGCAAAGAACCTGTGAGGGAAGAGTTGTGAAAATTCTATCCTGTAGCTATTATGAATTGTGTCTAGAATGAATGCGTTCTGGGTAGTTAGTAGCCATTGCGTGTGGAAGTGTCCCAGTCCTGGTTTAAAGTTAACCGCGGACCCTTCCCCACGCTCTAAGAAATGCGTCGGCCTTGCAGTCCATTGGGTCCTTTAAGGAAACTCCGTCTTCGAAAGATAGATCCGTGGATTTCAAGATCTTCGAAAGGGGGGGCATCAGGTTTCGGGCAGGACTCCCACCTAGACGCATCTTCCTCTTTAAATAGAAATCGCCTTTTAAGGTTTTTAGGGAAAAGGAAAAAAAAAAAAAAAAAAAAAAAAAAGTACCACAAAAAAAAACAGCTTTTCTTTCCGGCTCTTCCCATTCCCTCTTTATGGTAGACCATAAAGTGGAATGGACCGGGAACGTGCAACCGCTTCTCTTTTGTAGCCCCACATATAGCTGGTTGTGCAGAGAGAGATCCGGTTGTTCCTCTTCTAAGTCCAGAGTATTGTAGATTACCTTCAGGAAGACTTCAAAGGAACTATGGAATGGTAAGACCTGCACGAGTCCCATCATAGGGGTTGACACTCAGGGATCAGCTCACGCATTTCGAAGGATGTTCCTTCATCAGAGCTCTGAGTTCCTTTGAGAGCTGACATGCTTGAAATACTTTGTTTGCGAGTATATTTTTGTATTCAATGAAATTGGTTTACTGACGTAATGCGCAAGGTTGGTGCGCTTCTTTTTTTTTGTCTTTGCTTCACAGTATTGGTCTGGCTTCCCCAGCCTTGTTTAGAGCTGCACAACCCCATATGCAAAGGTGGTCGAATTTTTTCAAGTTCTGGTTCCATCTAGCCACCTCCTTTGGGTCTTACAGCGCAGGAGAGTTCGTTTCTATGAGCAGTCCCTTTCCAACAGGTTGGCAGAGTGAGCCCTACCCCCCCCCCCCCCCTGGAGAGCACCGCAGGACCATAAAGAGGGGTGCTATCACCCCCAACCCCAGGAAAGAAAGGTGGCTGTTTAGGGAACCCTGGTTGAGGCCACACTGCCTTGCTTGAGAAGAGGAGGAAGGGGTAGCCCCATCCAAGAGGCCTCTGTTCCCCGCCAGACGATCATGCCAAAAAAAAGGGAAGTAGTTCCTGGTCCGGAGGAAACACTAATACTGAGGGTCCCCTATGGAGAGAGGCTATTTATGGAAAAGAAGGTGGATCGGGTGTTTCCTGGGAGGAGCCTCTCTCTCTCATGTCAAGCTGTCCTGGAAGATGACTTGGGAAAACAAATCTAGACAAAAATCAGTAGGTCATCCAGGTAACCCACAACATGGACATCCTGATAACTAAGCAGAGAAGGAACTGGAGCCAAAACCTTTGTGAAGACTTGGAGAGGCTGTGGACAGGCCAAAGGGAAGCTACAAATTGAAAATTTTGCTTGCCTGGGGCAAATTGTACAGAATGTTGAAGCAGAGGATAAATGGGGACAGGCAAATAAGCATTTGATGTTCAAAGAAATCCCCTTGTTGAAGGCAGGCGATGACTGATCTAGTGGATTGTCTGCAGAATTTCCAAAATCTCAAGTATTTGTGGAGGAGCTTGAGGGCCGCACATCTCCATCTCTCTGTTTTGGGACCGTGAATAAGTTGGAATTAAAACCTTAAACCCCCCCCAACCTGCATTAGTTCAATTATACCCAAGGAATAACCTGTTGGAGGGGAACCTGAAGAGCCTATGCTTGTTGGAGGAGGGCAGGTTAGAAGCATTGAATTGGGGAAAGGGAGGGGACAAACTCCAGTTTGTAGCTTTGGAGAGTGAGACTGAACTCAAAGGTTTGGTGGTTAGGTGGGGATGTCCTGTCACTGTGCAGAAGGCTCACAACCCGGTTTTCCTGGCTTGGGTATCCAAGGTCTGCAGTGAAATTGGTTTAAGGTCATGGGCTGTGAGGAACAAAAAGGAACCCCTCTCTAGTCTTAGTCTCATTTGCTGGGCAACAAGGTTGGGAGGCCTTTGGCGAATCTAGTTCCAGGCAGGTCTGCATCTCAATACTTAGTGTTAACATTTTAGGCAACAAAATGGCAGAAGGTGCTCCTCCTGAGAGGAGACCTCCGGCTCATGGAAAAACAGAGTTCAACCCCCCTCCCTCCTCCCGTCAGCCTCACTATCCTCTTTCATATAAAAAGAGATCCTGGCAAGGGGTGTGTCAGAAACAAAACTCTGGTGGAGAGAGGGGTGAAGTTCATTTACAATCCTAACAGCCAACGAACTAAGCAAGATGCAGAATTTGTCCCTTGAGGGCAGATATAGAAGCCGCAAAATCCTCCCTGCAGCGGTATGAGGCGTGCGAAACACCTGAGCCCAATGGACAAACCTGAGGAGAGTACAGAATCTGGGGGGACAACTTGGCAAACTTTCAGTGGCTAGAACCCCAGCAGGGGTCAGGCAACTCTTCCAGCCTGAAACGGTGGCCATGGTTGCAAACACCTTTCCCCCAGTGCTGTGCCATTAACAGTGAGTGGGACACCCCTGTAGAGGGTACTAATTGTGAGGGGGTTAAAATAGTAGGTTTGTTCCCAGGATGAGAGGTAGAAGCAGATAGCCAGGGACACTTGGCTCTGCTCTGAACATGGCAAGTCCCAAAATGGCCATGGAGCAGCACACGCAGTTGGCCTGAGTGGTAGCAGTTAACCCTTGAGCCACCATACTACCAAATACCACAGATCCCAGGCAGGCAAAAAAAAAAAAAAAAAGCCTTTAAGCACAACATCCTGCACTACGTGTCAAGTTCCTAACACAGGATCCAGTGCCCAAAAGTGACTTTGCAGGATGGCCATGCGTAATCTCTGGCAAAGTCTGGGTATGGTCTTTGAAGCTCTTGCTGTGGGGCACTTATCTGGAAGTTGCATAAGATTTTACCGTGATGGTAAGGCAGTGAGAAAGGCAAAAATCTAATTCTAAACCTAATTCACTCTAAACCTATAGTCAGCCGCATCCTAAATCTATCTAGCCCTGTAAAAAAAAAAAAAAACCCAATACCACACTATACCTGTTACCTGTTCTGCAGCCACTCAGGTCCAGTCCTACACTGAGCTGTCAGCTGTGGCTTCAGCGTGTAGGAGTGTGCAGGAGAGGCAGCCGACAACGGAATCCCCATAGCAATTATGGGTGAAGTCACATCCCAGCTCTTGTCGGCTGTTTCCTGCACACAGAGGGCGCCACTGGAGATCGAACCCAAGCGCATGCAGAACAGGTAAGTACAGTGATTTTTTTTCTACAGAGCTAGATAGATTAGGCTTAGAATGTGAGAGTAGGTTTATAGTTAGGTTTTGTCTTTACTTCCACTTTAAGAATTCTTAAAAAAATAAATAATTCCATTTAGTAGAGAGGATAATCCATTATCCTCAGCCCCGCCCACCTCAATCTTCCCAAAACACACACACAAAAAAAAAAAAACACTCCAGTGCAGACCCATCACTAAATCCAGAAGTTGTGAAATTTTGGAGGATTAACTATAACATTTTCAAGGGAGGATAAGCTACAGAACCAGGGGTAACATCTGTCTCACCTTGTCTTCATTTAGCAATTTTACATCATATTTGTGTGGAAGAAATTTAGGTGGAATCCATTTTTTCTCTTCTTTTTTGAAGCTCGCAGGCAGTTTACGGGGTGAACGTCTTGCTCTGTCACCTGAGAGAGAGAGATGTAGTTCATGTAGGTGTCAGCAACTTTCTGGATTATGCCAATTCATTACTAAAACTATGAACATTAAAGCAAAGCTGTAGAATACTCAGTCAAGGCAAAGTAGCAGATCTGCTTTAATCCCCCATCCCCAGCAGCATATACTTACGCCCCAGTTCAAACCTGGAAACAAAAAACCGCACAGTCCATATCCCTGTGCAAGGTACAACACTGGTGACTCGTGGCAAAATGCAAGTGAGAAAACGGGGAAATTCAGATCAAAATTTGGCGTGACCACCCTTTGCCTTCAAAACGGCATCATATCTAGGTATATTTACACATGGCATTTGAAGGAACTCAGCAGGCAGGTTGTTCCAAACTTCTTGGAGAACTAACCATAGATCTTCTGTGGATGTAGGCGGTCTCAAATCCTCTTGTCTTCATGTACTCCCAGACAGACTTGATGTTGAGAATAGGGCTCTGTGGGGGCCAAACCATTACTTGCAGGACACCTTGTTCTCTACACTGAAGATAGTCCTGAATGACATTGGCTGTATGTTTGGGGTTGTTCTGTTTCAGAATAAATGTGGGGCCAATCATATGCCTCCCTGATGGTATGGCATGGAGAAGTATCTGCCAGTGTTTCTCAGCACTGAGTACAGCATTGATCAGGCAATGCCGAGGACCGTAAATGCAGTGGTCATCCAAGGAAACTTAAAAGGAAAAGTTCACCTTTGTAAAAAAAAAAAAACAAAAAAAAAAACAAAAAAAAAAAAAACACAACAACACTGCACATTTTTTATACCTGCATTTGTTTCTATGAGCCTGCAAATCATTGCACCCACAAATCAACAGATCGTGGGTGCTACGCAGGGCACTTGCAGACCATGTGTATGCTGTCTGCTCATACCAAGTACGAGCAGGAACTTACACAGTGAAAGACTCAATGCACCACCTAGCGCGCTCAACAGTGCCCTGGTACTTCATTGAGAACTACAAGACAACAGCCGCATAGCCTGTTGGTACTTGTGCTTTTCACAAGCACAGGATTCTACAAATGAATGACGAAGCCCTTGAAGGCGGAGCCTGGCACAGATGCCTTTTTAAAAATTGTGACAGAGGTGGTAGAAGATCCTCCGGTTTCTGTCAAAAAGGGGGTCGGGAGGGCACGGGGGCAGCTACATCTGTAACATGTTATACCCTGAATATGAACAACATGTTACGAAAAGGTGCACTTATCCTTTAATGCAGCAGATGAAAGACACAAACTTACATCCCTTCAACCTTGGAAGATGTCCAGCAGTGCTATCAGTACACAATTGATGGAAACCAGTGGGACCCAGATATACTCTTCTACTGTCTGGAGAAGCCTGGCCAGAAGTGGTCTTTTATGGAAGAACTGTGGCCAAAAAGCCATACCTCGGACATGGAAACTAGACTAAGCAACTCAACTATACACAAAAAAACTGCAACTGTGCAAAAAAAAAAAAAAAAAAAAAAAAAAAAAAAAAAAAAAAAAAAAAAAAGTTAATACGTGCTCTGGACTGTCAAAATTTTAAATATCTGGCTGTAGCAGGAGATATCTGTTCATGAACAGCTGCAAAGTGGTACAATAATGAGTGTCTACAGGCAACAGTGAAGCATGGTGAAGGTTTCCTGCAAGATTGGGGCTGCATTTCTGCAAATGGAGTTGAAGATTTGTGAGGATCAATCGTATCCTCAATGCTGAGAAATACAAGCAGATACAGTGGGGCAAAAGAGTATTTAGTCAGCCACCAATTGTGCAAGTTCTCCCACTTAAAAATATGAGAGAGGCCTGTAATTGGCATCATAGGGAGACCTCAACTATGAGAGGCACAATGAGAAAAAAAATCCAGACAATCACATTGGCTGATTTGGAAAGAAATTATTTGCAAATTATGGTGGAAAATAAGTATTTGGTCACCTACAAACAAGCAAGATTTCTGGCTCTCACAGACCTGTACCTTCTTCTTTAAGAGGCTCCTCCGTCCTGCACTCATTACCTGTATCAATGGCACCTGTTTGAGGTTGTGGACAGGTGTCTTTTATACTGATAACCAAGTTCAAACAGTCATACTCCGAACTCCACTACGGTGAAGACCAAAGAGCTGTCGAAGGACACCAGAAACAAAAAATTGTAGACCTGCACCAGGCTGGGAAGACTGAATTTGCAATAGGCAAGCAGCTTGGTGTGAACAAATCAACTGCGGGAGCAATAATTAGAAAATGGAAGACATACAAGACCACTGATAATCTCCCTCGATCTGGGGCTCCATGCAAGATCTCACCCCGTGGGGTCAAAATGATCACAAGAACGGTGAGCAAAAATCCCAGGACCACACGGGGGGGAGCTAGTGAATGACCTGCAGAGAGCTGGGACCAACGTAACAAAGGCTACCATCGGTAACACACTACGCCACCAGGGACTCCGATCCTGCAGTGCCAGACGTGTCCCCCTGCTTAAGCCAGTACATGTCCAGGCCCGTCTGAAGTTTGCTGGAGAGCATTTGGATTATCCAGAAGAGGATTGGAGAAGGTCATATGGTCAGATGAAACCAAAATAGAACTGTTTGGTAGAAACACAACTAGTTGTGTTTTGAGGAGAGAGAATGCCGAGTTGCATCCAAAGAACACCATACCTACTGTGAAGCATGGGGGTGGCAACATCATGCTTTGGGGCTGTTTCTCCGCAAAGGGACCAGGATGACTGATCCATGTACAGGACAGAATGAATGGGGCCATGTATCGTGAGATTTTGAGTGCAAACCTCCTTCCATCAGCAAGGGCATTGAAGATGAAATGTGGCTGGGTCTTCCAACATGACAATGATCCCAAACATACCACCCGGGCAATGAAGGAAATACTTATTCTGCACCATAATTTGCAAATAAAATAATTTCCAAAAAAAAATTTTTCTCATTTTGTCTCTCATAATTGAGGTCTACCTATGATGCCAATTACAGGCCTCTCTCATCTTTTTAAGTGGGAGAACTTGCACAATTGGTGGCTGACTAAATACTTTTTTGCCCCACTGTACTTATCCATCATGCCATACCATCAAGGAGGCGTGGGACTGGCCCTAAATGTATCCTGCAGCAGGACAAGAACCCAAAACATGCAGCCAATATCATTAAGAACTATCTTCAGTGTAAAGAGCAAGGAGTCCTGGAAATGATGGCTTGGCCCCCACAGAGCCCTAATATATCAAGTCTGTCTGGGATTACATGAAGAGAGAAGGATTTGAGGTAGCCTACTTCCATAGAAGATGTGGTTAGTTCTCCAAGATGTTTGGGACATCTCAAAAACGGTTTGCCTTCAAAACAGCATCAATGCTTCTAGGTACATTTGCAAAGATTGGTCACACAAAACATTTATTTGATTTGAATTTCCTCTTGTTAATTTACTTTCCTTTTTGTTAATTCCATTTTTTTTTTTTAACCATTTCTGAAAACATTCGTAATTTACAGCATTTTTTTCCCCCACAGTACTGTATATACACTTTTTGTTTATATACGGTCTCCAAAGCAAGTGCAGTTTTACTATGACATTTTACAGCTGTGGCAGTGATCATGTACAACGGCTGGCTGCCCTGATATCACTTTGTCAGTGCCACCAGCCATTATTTGATCACCGACACAGCAGTACAATGTCACCCAACCAGTGCTACCAATCCCAGTGTCCCAAACACCACCGCACCAGTGCAGTGTTCCCTGTGCCTGCTGCATGTGCTGACCCTGGCCTGTTGACTACCTGCTGCCTGGACCAATCCTTTGCCTGTTAGCTGACCATATGTCTACCCGTGGCCGGAATTTACCCATCTACAGATCCCACTGAATATGTTCCTGCAAGACACCAGGCCAGTGAACATGGCATTTCTTGGAGCAGCCAAATACCAGTAGCCTAGGCTTGCTTAGATTATAGGAACTGGGACTGCTACAGCTGATGCTACACCAAGCTATATTCCCTGACCACTTGCATGGAAGTGACCATTAACCACTTGCCCTCCAGAGGATTTACCCCCCATCCTGACCAGGCCTTTTTTGCTGACAATCGCGCAGTCATGTGACGCTGTACATAAATTAAATTTGTGTCCTCTTTCCCCCCCCCCCCCCCCATAAAGCTTTCTTTCGTTAGTATTTGATTGATCACCTGTGCGGATAATCATAAATTTAGGCCAAAACGTATTCTACTACATGTCTTTGCTAAAAAAAAAAAAAAAAAAATCCCAATACATGTTAAATGAATTGGTTTACATGAAAGTTATAGTATCTACAAATGGCGGTATATATACACTGGAATCTCTTATCAGTGACTTACAGCAGGTGGGAACTGACTAACTGCCACTGATATCCCAATGACAACAGTGATCAGTACTAATAATGACACTACTACTGACAATGGGCCGGGAGGAGTTAACATCTGGGGCAAAGGGTTAACGGAGTGCTGTGCTTTACAACATGTGCGTTTTACTTGGGAAACATGCTGCTGTGTATTTCTCTGCTCTGCAGCATGTTCCCAGGAGAGGGACCTGTGTTTACACACAGGTCTCTCCCCTGTCAGTGTTACTCGGCGATCGCCAGCGGGGAACCTCTAGTCTGGACCAATTGACATCGGTAGTCACCAATGTCTGCGTGTACCCCCTACCCAGAAAGGCATCTCACACACAAATTTTGCGCAGCCCTGCCACTACAGTACTTCTGCTATAGGGCAGCAGGGAAGTGGTTAAAGTACATTGGTTTATTTGTGTAATAAAAGAATAACATTCGGGATATAACCTGTCCGAAAATTAAAAGTCTCAAAATGGTGGTATAGGCAAAAGTCGGGAGCAGCAGAACTTGTTTTGGGTTTTAATTCTAAGTAAGCCTATGCTACCTGTGAAAATGAGAAGTTTGGTAAAAAAAAAAAAAAAAAAAAAAAAATTTATTTTCCTTTCACAATTTTCCAAAAACTTGTGGCCAAAACATGAAGTCTTCAAAAGACCATGCCTCTTAAACACCTTGGGACTCCAGGGTCCCCAAAAATTGTGATAGGAAGTCAGAAAAATAGATGCACAAATTTATTCCCCTAGAACGCTTGAAGGTGCTCTTTGGATTTTGGGCCCCTATATATGGCTAGGCTGTGAAAAAGCCTCACATGTGATATCCCCATACTTGGGAGGAGTAGCAGAATGCGTTTTGGGGTGCAATTCTTAGTATGCCTATCGTATGTGTTAGAAATATATTAAATAACCACTTTTGAGAAAAAAAAAAAAGCCTACCGCTTTACCCCCCTTCTTGACCAGGCCATTTTTTTTGCATTACGACGCTGCGTTACTTTAACTGACAACTGCGCTGTCAGGCAACGCTACACCCAAATTAAAATTTAAGTCTTTTTTTTCCCCCCCCCACCAATTGATCTTTCTTTTGATGGTATTTGATCGCCTGTGCGGGTTTTTATTTTTTGCGCTATAAAAAAAAAAAAAACAAAAAAAAAAAAAAAAAAAACCAAAAAAAACAACAACACCACACACACACCAATTTTGAGAAAAAAACAAAAAAAAAAAAAAAAAACCTGTATTTTTGACTTTTTGCTATTAAACATGTCCAGAAAAAAAAAAAAAAAAAACTAATTCGTCAAATTTAGGCCAAAATGTATTCTGTTACAAGTCTTTGCTAAAAAAAAATCCCAATACATGTAAATTAATTGGTTTATGTGAAAGTTATAACATTTACAAATGGCAGTATAGATACTGGAATTTTTGACTAGTAATGGCGGCGATCAGTGACTTATAGCGAGACTGTGGCAGGCTTTGAACTACGATGGAAACAGTCAAGTGTTACTATACACATTGTAATAAACCTTGAAAAAGAGATCCTTACTTTCTCTCAGAGCACTTAAGCTATCTCTGCAGTTAGTTTCTTCCTTCATCTGGTTATCTTGTGCCACCTGGCTGGAGTTTTCTTTGTCACTGGATGGAGAATCACAAGACCCAGACTTCTTTTCTGCTCCAGTTTCATCTTGTTCAAGAGGATGCATCTTCACTATTTTAGCACGCAAGTATTTCTCTGGGCCAACCTGAAAACAGAAATTCTAAGTTACAATTCTATTACAGCGTGGCTTAATATAAATTGAATAAACGCCTTCTTCACACAGGCACGGAGGCCTGTACACTGTGGACAGTTTTAGAAGTGCCTAGCCAGATGATGCTTCGGGCAGGCAGCCCATTCAAGTCCATGGCAACGCAAAAGGACAATTGTCCCAGTGTGACATAAGCAAAGGTGAGCAGCCACAAACACATATATACACACACACATACACACACACACACCTACATATATATATATATATATACATATATATATATATATATATATATATATATATATATATATATATATATAATATATATATATATATATATATATATATACATATATATATATATATATATACACACACACACACACACACACACATATATAAAGATATATATATATATATATATATATATATATAAAAAAAGAAAAAAAAAAAAAAAGAAGGACTATTCAACATGTGTACAGATACTGTTTGGGAACTTTTTTTTTTGTTTTAGGTGACCAAAAAGCACTTTAACTGCTCACAGCAAATCAAAGCTGTTTTTTTTTTTTACGTTTGTGGGGGCGTTCTATACACCAGCTGTGTATAAAAACGCTTCCAGGATTCTATACTGCATTGGCTTTTATACAACGTTACAGTGCAGCAGATTGAAGAGGAAAGGTATTTTCTAATGGCAATAAAATTACAACATGAATTGTCCAGCAATTATATATGCCATAGTAAAGTGGTTCTATAGCTAAAATGTTTAACTTAATGCATTCCCAGCATTACGGTAAAAAATGTTTTAGGACTTGCTGTGGCCCCCCTCTAAACATTTACACTCCTGGATTGATACAGTACTGTGCCTAGCTACAGTACTCTCTCCTCTCGCCCTCGACACCATTGGCTTCTGCTGCTATCAGTTCAGTAAGAGTCGGAGGCAGGGCCGTGCCACACTGTCAATAAAACGCACAGTCCAGCTCAGAATAGAGCCCACACGTCTCCGCCTATAGCAAGCTGCTTGCTATGGTAGCAGACAAAGGGGAAGTGGTTAAGGCCCATGCACACAGAGTGGATTTTGCTGTGAAGTATCTCCAGCTGTCTGGAGCAGAGTGGGATGGATGTCACATCTGTATCCTTCTGTTTATGTGGTCACGGACAGACACCGCTCTGCTCTATGGGCAGCCAGGTGTAAAACCAGTCAGTTTACATCCAGCTACCTCAGATCCAGTCCATCAAAAAAAGAAAAGGGGGGTACTGCTCAAAATGACCCATTTTGGAAAGCAGACAAGGCATTTTGCTGAGAGGCATGTTGAGTGCCTGGAAGATTTTATTTTTCGACTTTTTTTTTTAAAACACAAAAAGCTGTCACTTAAATGGAGATTATTTCTCACACATTGCACGGGTATGTGTGGAGTTACACCCCAAAACACATTCTGCTAACTTCTTATTCTGCTCCAAGTATGGGGATAGCACACGTGGGACTTCTTGGCAACCTAGCCATGCACAGGCCCCCAAAAGCCAAAGACCACCTTCAGGCTTTCAAAGGGCGTATTTCCCCATGTCGATTCCTAGCTACCGATGACAGTTTCAGAGGCCCTGAAATTCCAGGGTAGTACAAACACCCCCCACAAAATGACCCCCTTTTTGGAAAGTAGACAGCCCAAGGAATTTGATAAGAGGCAAGATATTTTTCAGATCTCATTTTCTGTTGCAAGGTTTTGGAAAATTGAGGGGGGGCAAGTTTTCGTTATCTCTACATTTGCCAAAAACTTGTGGCAACAAATGAGATCTGCAAAAAATACTCACCATGCCCTTTAGCAAATACCCAAAAGGGGTAATTTCTGGCAAGTTTTGTACTAACCTGGCATTTCAGGGCCTCCAAAACCAATAGGTGGCCAGGAAGTAAAATGAGAAAATTATACCCTACCCCATTTAAAAGTCTGAAGGTAATCATTTGATTTTGAGCTCCTGTACGTGGTTAGGCTGCCAAAAAGTCTCATGTGGTATCCTCATACTCAGGAGAAGTGGCAGAATGTGTTTTGGGATGCAATTCCACATACAGCGGGTAAAAAAGTATTGAATAAGTCATCATTTTTCTCAGTAAATAGATTTCTAAAAAGTGCTACTGACATGAAATTTTCACCACGTTGGTAACAACCCATGCAATCCATACAAAGACACCAAAACAAAGAAGTTCAGAAATTACGTTATGTGGCATAAAATGGAATTACACAGGGAAAAGTACTGAACACACTAAATGAAATTAAATTTTTCATACAAAATCCTTTGTTGGTAATGACAACTTCAAGACGCCTCTTGTATGGAGAAACTAGTCGCATGCATTGCTCAGGTCAATTCTGGACCATTCTTTCACACAAAATCTTCAAATCTTGAAGGTTCTGGGGCCTCTTCTATGAACTCTGATCTTTAGTTCCTTCCATAGATTTTCTATTGGATTCAAGTCAGACAATTGGCTGGGCCATTCTAGCAGCTTTATTTTCCTTCTTTGAAAACAACAGTTTCCTTGGCTTTGTGTTTGGGATCATTGTCTTGATGAAATGTCCACTCTTGTTTCATCTCCATCATCCTGGCAGATGGCACCAGATTTTTATCAAGAATGTCTTGGTACATTTTTCCATTCATCCTTCCATCAATGATATGAAGTTTGCCAGCCCCACACTATGACATACCCACCTCCAAACTTAACTATTAGTATGGTGTTTTGGGGGTGATTTGCAGTGCCATTTGACCTCCAAACATAGCATGTATTATGGCAACCAAACAGTTCAAGTTTGGTCTCATCTGACCAGACTATATTCTTCCAGTATTTCACAGGCTTGTCTAAATGTTGTGCAGCAAATTTAAACAAGCTTCAACATTTTTTTTCCTCAGCAGTAGAGTCTTGTGTGGTGAGCATGCATACAGGCCATGGTGATTGTGTGCATTACTTATGGTTTTCTTTGAAACAATTGTACCTGCTAATTCCAGGGCTTTCTGAAGCTCTCCATAAGTGGTCCTTGGCTCTTGGACAATTCTTTTCACTCCTGTCAGATATCCTGTGAGGAGCACCTGGTCATGGCCAGTTTATGATGAAATGATGTTCTTTCCACTTGCAGATTATGGCCCACCAGTGCTCACTGGAACATTCAGAAGTTTAGAAATCCTTTTGTAACCAATGGTAACAGTAGGATTTGCAACAATAAGGATGCAAAAGGTCTTGACAGAGCTCTTTGCTTTTACCCATCATGAGATGTTTGAGTGACACCTTGGTAATGAGACTTTTTTTATAGGTCATCAGTTGAGACTGAACCAGCTGATATTAAATTTGCACTGACAAGGGGGAGGATTACTTTCCAATTACTGATAGATTTCAGCTGGTGTCTTAGCTTTCCATGCCTTTTTGCACCTGTTCAATACTTTTTCCCCATGTCATTCCATTTTATTACACATCATTTATGAACTGGTTTTAGTTTCTTTGTATGTATGGATTGCAAGGATTATTACCAACGTGGTGCAAAATTTCATGTGAATAGCACCTTTAGCAATATGTTTATCTAGAAAAATGGTGACGCCTTCAATAATTATTTTACCCACTGTACATCCATGGCATGTGTGATAAATATGTTATTAAAATGGACAACTTTGTGTAAATAAAAATATAATTTCTTCAATTCCAAAATAAAATTTTCCATGAACTGAACATGCCTCTTAGCAAACACCTAAGGGTGTCTAGTTTCCAAAAAAAAAAAAAAAAAAAAAAAAAAAAAAAAAAAAAAAGTTATTTTTACACTGTCCCTTTAATCACAGGGATTGTAAACATCCCCTGTGACAGCATTAGGTAGTGACCAGTACTCTTTGCTGAGAAAACTGAATCTATTAGACCCCAGAACTCTTATCTGCCCTTAATAGCATCTGACCACACCAAGATGGGTGTGATTAGAGGCCTTCCTCAATTTAAAAATGGCTTTTACACGCAGCACGGTGGGGACGCCCCCTCCTGCCGCATCTTTCTCGGGCTTTAATTTAAAAATGGCGCCGTTTACATCCGGTGAAACCAGAAGTGATGAAATGCTCATTGCTTCCGGTATCTCAGACCATAAAGATGATCTAAGCCATTCCAGTCTGTTGGCTGCATTCGCAGGTTCCTCGGTGTGACGAGAGAGCCCGAGAAAGCCATGGAAGGAGGTGACCCCTCCATGCTGCATGTAAAAGCAATTCAGTGGCTAATTAGCCGCTAGAAAACTGCTTTTAAAAGAAAGCGGACCACAGGCTGAATAAAAAATATACCAGGATGATGCCTGAAGGTGCAGGCATCATCCCGGTATAACGGTTTAAATTTCAGCGATTTATTGGTAAGTTGCTGGTCCTTATTGGGCATCCAAGTAATAGTCTCTCCGGCATGGGTCTACCACTACGGCCTCCCAGACAGAGAAGGCGACATCGCACTGACACCTGAAGGATCACGAGTCTTGACTAACCGGAGCCAATGGATGATGTCTACTGCAACTATATAGGTCTTTTCCCCCCTTGCATTTGACCCGTTTTCCACCCTTTCCCTGCGATAGCGGGTGTCTGTACCCCGAAGTTTGTTTCCGCTACCACGGATTTTGGTCTCATGGATCTGATTCAATGCTTACAGAAGGCTTTGTACCTCACTGTATGTTCCTGTATCAATTATGCTTCATTGCCTAACAGTCTATGTTTACGTCTGAACATCAGCATATGGACCTTCTCATGTCATGCATACTCAGAGTGTACCCATATTGATTGTTCTGATTTGCCGTTTCTTTGCGTGCAAACTGCTTTGGACTTTTTCAATCTACGGAAGGACTTAGTGCCTTAATTTTTTCTATACTAGTTCAGGCCATTTCACTCTATGCAGTAAGATAGCAATGCTGATGTAATCTGCCTTTTAAAATGCATCATGAAAGACTATGTGCCTTCATTTTTGGGGGGGGGGGGGGGACCCCATTTGCTACCTTGCTACCTAGGGG